AATGAGACTAACCTGGATAAATACAGGCTAAATGAAATGAAAATGTTAGAGGTTGGCATGTGTTGTGAATGACTCAGCCATTACCACACCTAATTTTATCTGTAAAAATGACAGAATTGTAGCAATTTTTTGTGCTTTTGAAGGACATTTGACTATGGCAGCCATTTTTAATTTTATTGATTCAAAAAGTTAAGAAGTTTCAATAAAATGTGGCAGAGAATATTATTCTGGCTACAATCCTTTTTCTTTGCTCTTATCATTAATTAATTTGTCCGTTGTCGGTTTTTTAAAATACCATGAAAGTCTATTTATTTATGTATTTGAACATAAATTATAAAAAATAAAAAAGTGTATAAAACTTTTTTTTTATTATTTTGCCTTTTTTTCCTTCCATCTCACTTTATATGACTTTAAACTTTGCTATTCATAAGAAGCATTTCTCTGCAGATTACACAATAACTTTTAGTCATTTGTGCATTTTAATATTTGAGCTCCTAAAACTATGATTAAATGACTGAATATTTCTCTTGAATTTAACAAACTAAACCCTGATTATTGAGCATGGACTTTGTTGGTAAACCCTGACTAGTTTACTTAAAGTTTGTGCATTTTTTTTAAACTTGCAAAACATTTCTTATATCCATTTTAGTGCTTTCTAAATTTGTTTTCTGTAGGTTCGTTAATGACATTAGCCACCCTGCCTCTCCTCCTTCGCTCAGGCAGCATGGACTGTGACGTCCAGTCCCTCGTGGGCTCAATAACTAATCCTTCTGCCTCATCGATCTTGATTCTACAGGTCCTTAGCTGGATCGAATCAGGCAGGGAGGACAGCTGCCTGGATCTTGTCAAACCTGATGGACTGGCTGGCAATCAGCAAGCCAGAATCATGTCAGCCTGACCCTAAGGGGAGGGGGACTCAGAGCTAGCCAGAACAGGATATTGCTGTGTGATCGTTCACCAGCAGCAGACAAATCATTAAACCACTGGCTGCGTGCCGCTCAGCAGTTCAAGCATTTCTGTCTGTCATTCCAGCGTCCCCTCAGGCTAGAGTTCGAGTTGTTAGCTTGTTACTGTTTATTCAAGTTTTTGAATTTCTACTAGAAGGAAAGATGTGTACGGTAGATTGGTTTTTCTTTGAAACGAGACAGGATACAAGGTTCTTTGTTTGTCATATACACCACATGTGGTACATGTGGTGGAAAGAAATTGTGTACACAGGGTCCCAGTTACCTCCAACAAAAGTATAAAAAAAAAAAACGTAAAAGAAAAATAGTAAAAAGATCTAAGGGCAGGGCTGTTCAACTGGTGGCTCGCAGGCCATTTCCGGCCCATGGGTGACTTCAATCCGGCCCACTTCATTATAAAAAAAAAAGTTTTTGTTTTGGGGTACTGGGTTTGGGTTTTGGGTTCTGTATATTACATTTATGATTCAGTGCAATAAAATAAACACATTTAAAAGGTAACAGATCATTGCAAACTTTGGTTTATTTACATAATGATTTTAATTGTTGTATGTCTGGCCCCCGAGCTGCTGGCTTTCAGAAACCGTGGCCCCCTGAGCAGTTTTGTTGAAGAGCCTTGATATAAGATATGAACTAAGAAAAAGATAACTAAAAATACACTAAGCACTAGTGGTACAAAAACAATATGCTGAACAGCAGCACGAACATGAGTCTGTGTGAGCAGATGAGCAGCATGAACACATCAACATGAAACAGATCAGCAGCATGAAACAGATCAGCAGCAACATGATGTGATTTTTCACAGTGATTATTCTGGTTAAAGATTCATGAGTCTTAACAGCCTCAGGGTAGAAGCTGTTCCTCAGTCTAATGGTTCTACACTTAATGCTCCTCAACCTCCTTCCTGAGGGGAGCGGGGCAAAAAGTGTGTGTGCTGGGTGAGTGGGGTCCTTCACGATGCTGGTGGCTCTCTTCCTGCACCTGGAGGTGTAGATGTCTGTGATGGTGGGGAGACTGACTCCAACAGATTTCTGTGCAGCCTTCACCACTCTCTGCAGAGCTTTTCTTTCTGCAGCTGTGCAGCCTCCATGCCACACGTTGATGCTGGAGCACAGGATGCTCTCCACTGCACACCTGTAGAAGGAGGTGAGGACTGAGCTTCCCAGACCAGCTCGCCTCAGCCGCCTGAGGTTGCAGACAGGTTGCATGTTGTTTAATTTGTCTGAAATTGTTTTATCTTTTTTTTTTTTTTGGGGGGGGGGGGGGGTCTTTGTCTACCTTTTTTTATAAGTTAAGCATTTTTGTTTTTACAGATTTGCAC